TTTGTTCATAGCACTGTTCCCCAGATACATGTCAATCCAGTTCTCCCTCGCTCTGTGGGGAACATTGGGAGAGTACTGGTATTTAGCGAGGTGAGATTGAATTCCTCTATGAATTCCCGAATGGCGGTGCCCCTGGGGGTCCTCCTGAGGGGCGTGCCACAATGGGGACTTTGCATTAAAGTCCCCAGCAATAAGGATAGGACGTTGAGAAATTGTCCTAATAGTGGATCCTAAATTGTGAAGAGGAGACACTATGTCTTCTGAAGGAAATATATAAACAGAGACAATGCACCCCTTAAAACCCTGGCTGTTGACTTAGATGGTTGTGTGATTATCACTGCAGAGATTCTGATGCATTTGAGCATCTATGGCCTGATTAGCAACAACAATCCCTGAAGTAACTTTGTTATTTCTGTTTAGGTGAAGGGATTTGCACCAACCTAGCATAGCAATTTTCCCCTTCAGTGAGTAGGGTTCTTGGACCGTTATAATATTCGTGTTGTTAACCCATGATATCCAGAAGTAACTGGGAGTTAGGGAACTTGCAGTTTTGTAAGTTGATTTGGAGTATCTTAAGGTTGTTGTTGAATGTATGGTTTAAGTTGGTGGTCTGGCCCTTATGACTGAAAGCTGAATTGGTGGCCATGGGCCAGTGAGTGGACCAGAATTATTACCATTCTTAGAGTTGAATGTACTAATCGGATGTGGAGCCAGTGTGGAAGGGAACAGAGAGGATTTAGAGTCCATAGTTTGTCTGTTTTATTGTGGCCGCTTTAATATGTTTGCTGATGGGGCAATTCAAGTCAAAAGCAGTGTGATTTGTTGGATGTTTTTTGCTTCCCGGAAGCTGTTTATTAGCCGATTTACAAATAATCCTATTCAACGTTCCAAATGCAGTTGCTGAGGAGAACATTATTGACTATCTTTATGACCAAAATGGAGTGACATATACAAATGACATATGGAGTGACATAAAGAAAGAAGACATAGAATCACCTGTCGTATTAGCACAATCATAACCAGAGGAAGAGTCATAGAAAATTGCAGACATGTAATCCTTTCAGTTCTGCCCTAGATCAGAGACATCATAATCAAAGAAAAGCATCTTTCCCTCTCTGGGCCACCATTAAGGTGGATGATTATGTCTATGTAACTAAGTGTTTTAGATGCTGTCGATTCAACCACAAAGCAGCAGACTGCACAGATGAGCAGTACTGCAGCAATTGCAGCAAGAGTCACAAGTTCAAAGAATGAGAATGCAGATGACAGGACAAATCACTTTGCTGCATTAACCCTTCGGAGACCTTACAGGTGACTTTTCTGTTGATGGAGGGTATGGCCTCAACTGCTTTGCTAAGGGCTTCACTCTCTGCTTTGCTGCCCACCCTGATACAAATTCCGTCCCCTTTAACTTCTTTCACTGATTTAATTTTAAATTTTATTCTCTGAGGCCCTATTTTACTTTTCAAGTCGGAAGCTACTTCAGTCATGTTAACTTTGGTACCACTTTCCTGTTCCTTCAGGTACAGAATGAGGGCATGTGATCCATCAAGCCCTTCAGCATTGAATTTGTTGTTGAGAGAGCGATTGTTCTCTTTGGTAGTAAAGCTCGGCTTAGTCGAATACTTGATCACTTCTGCATAGGTCTGTCTCGGTGCGAGAATGTTGTTTTCCACCTGGCGGAGACACAATTCCCTGATAATTCTGATTGTTTGACTTAAATATGAGAATAGCCGGCTTGCATTCTCCCTAATTTGTAGTCTCTCCTCCTCCTTTATATTGCTCTTTGTAAGTTCTGGACATAGGTCCAAGATGCAGCTCAGTTGCTGACTGGCCTCCATCAAAATTGTGTTCCAACGGCTCCGAAACAACCTGTGGTTTGGGTTGCGAGAGAGACATGATGATCCCAACAAGGTAAGATGTGGACCAAATGAATAAACAATGATGCGAAAGTATGAGATAGCAGGTATAACCCTGTATCCAGCCAAACTTGGGAAAATTAAAAAAAAAAAAACAAAAAAAAAGTGTAAGAACTATAAACTATGACTAAACTTTATAAATTAACAGAAAGTCTCCAATGGGAAAGCAATTGTAGCCCAAACGCTGAGCAGCTATAGCATGCCGAATGACGGCCACCACCCTGTGGTACAGAACAAAGCCCTTTTTCCAGGGAAAAGAAAAAGAAAAATGAATCTCATTTCAAAGTTAAAAATGACACATTGTCAAGATAATAATAATAACCTACGTACAAATAACCATTGACAAAGAACAAAATAGAAGTAGCAAACCGAACACGTGGGAGATGGTGCCAAAGACCAAAATTTCAGGCCCAATAACCTGAGCAGAAGTCACTGAATTAAAAGATACCAGTACCCACGGAGAGCACTTGTCCTCCTGACTCAGCACTGTATTACATTTCGCTATAATTCACTTGGTATTAAAAAAAATTGCGATCAAACTCAGAGCACATGTATGACACAACATAACACTTCCGACCCCTAACAGTCAATGGCTAGTATTTATATCATTGACCGTTAGGGGTCAGAAAAACTACTAATAATGCCTTACTCAGTGAGTTTTCATTCCTGCTAATGCTTATGAACCTAGCTTGTCTTGGAAAAGAATGTAGTCTAGAACTTTCATTTCCAAGACAGAAAGAACTACTCTGGGATTCAAAGTGTGAAATCCATGGGATTGTTTTTTTAATTAATATTCTCTTAATTTAATTAATATTCTCTTAAATTTAATTTAAAGATATTCTCTTCGATATAATATTTTATATCAAACAGAATATTTTAAACAAAGAAAGGATATACATTTTTCGTTTCCGAGGAAAGAAGGGAAGTTGAACTTCCTTTAGATGGCTGACTCTCTTGATGAATCAGTTTTGCACATGGTGCAGGCACCTGGAGAGCTATCTACAAATAGGGGCATTTTCCTGCCATTCGGGGTAACCCATAGATATATGATTACCATACAAATTTGAGGAGTTCCCAGAATATAAGAACTGGACACATAAGCGTCAATCTCCATATAGAACTAAGGATCGCCTCCCATGATATCGAAGATCCCATATAGTAGACATATAGAAGACATTGGAACATAATGTATACTAATCACATAGAAGATTAATTATCCGATCCACATTATAGAAGACACGACTACGGACATTACTTAAGTTCGAGGTAGTATAATTTGGTGTATATGTAAACTCTCTCTCTCTCTTGCGAGTTAGGAATGTAATTCTTTTGTAATCTTTGTTTTATTTGATTTTTGTTTTATTAAATATTTTTGTTATATCTTAATATGGTCTCATCTCTGTCTCAACTCCAAGCCTATGTCCACTCCACTTACTCGCGACCTTCCCACTCAATATTCCTATAAAAAGGGTTACTGGTGTACCTAACGCTCTATCTAGGCTAGTGTCAGGAAAAACAACTTCCAGGGGTTCAAAAGAAACCCCGGTTTTTTTCTAAGTCTAAGGAAGCCATCCTTTGATGACCATGGACCTGTTTTGCAACAAGACAGCCAATTAAGTGGTACATGAATGCTATCAAAACTCCATGACCCCTGCTAGCCCCTCAGAAAAGCAGTGAAAGATAGAATGACACTTATTTGCAGTAATGCTTTTGGAGATGTTTTTTATCAACCCTATGCTTGTATACAAGTCTTCTTAATTTTCATGCATTAAAGAGGAAAAATAAAGACAAACTTCCTGTTTTTTGGTGATTAATCATAAGAGTTTGATTAGAGCTGCTTTGTTTACAGGTCAATTAAATAATTTTTTTGTTCCCAATGCAGAGCAATTTGTTACAAAAGCAGCTATTCTTTAAACTTCTACTTTTTAATGCAACTGCACATAGTGAACTTGCTTCTTAATACAACCACTTGTTATAACTGCTTTGCTTCATTCAGCCTTTAGACCAAGGTGTAATAGCAACAATGAAAAGTTGTTATATTGTATTTGCTGCATGTTTGTACACATCCTAAACTGTATGAAGACTCAGAACTTTGTTGCATTGGTGTAAAAACTTCACAATTCTAGACTAGATAATGATGAGATTAGGCCAATGATACAGATTGCCATTTGGAAAGAGGTGGTGAAAAATGAAAATGAAATTCTTGTGGTTTTCATTGAAATGGAACACATTGTGACAATAAGTTATTTAAAAAGTGAAGGATTTCTTTACATACAGCCAAAGAAACATGAAGAACTTCAACAACAGGAGCTGTAAGGAGATATTGAGGAACTTTTTCAAAGTGAAAACAATGGTAGTTGAGGAAGACAAAGATAAAAATGAAAAATTAGTGCTGATACTACAATGAACAAGGGTACCTTTTCCTTCAAACACCTTCGTAGACTCTGTATTTTATCAAATGTTTTTTTGCTTTTCTTTGGAACATAACCTTCATTGTTGATGAGGGATGCTTGTACTTCAATATTTGTATTAAGGTGTTGAGCAGACAGTTCGCAGTATAACAGTTTAACCTGTAATTTATTTATTTTTAATATTAGTTAATTTATTCTGGCACTAGTAGTAACATCTGTTTATTATACTAAGCTAACTAATAAATATTTTAAAAATTCTAAAATATATATGGTATAAATAAATATATAGAACAATACTAATAGAAAGTGAAGTATGAACAGGAACAAAAAAAATTTTTTTTTCATGCATGATGTTGCTAAAGTAAAAATGAAAATTACATACATCAAGATGTTAAATAAGGTTGTTATGTATTACAAATTTCTGATGGTAAAAATTTGATTGTTAGTATTTTGTAATTAATTATATAATTAAACAATTATTTTATTTTCTCTTGATTTCAGTTTCATCATATTATCTTGAAAACTTAAAAATTGAAATCTTAAATTTTTAATTTTCATAACTTTCATAGAAAAAATTTCACTACAATTTATATATATGTAAATGAAATTTGATTTCATTATTATTATTTGTTTAAAGTATATTAATATTAAAATTACAATTGTTTGATAGATTGAACATACATTCCATTATTTGGATATTGAAGCAATAGAAAGCAAAAAGCAGCATCAAGTAAGTTTGTAATTTAATATTATTGTTAAGGATTTTATTAAAACTTAAAAACTGCTAATGTTTTAATATTTTACTACTGGCATATAAAATGTTTAACCTGTTCTGTGTTATTTCCAACATATCTTGGGTCATGATCTGCTGACCTTGATTTGTGAACTCAAGATATCTCGTTTCAGCATCGGAAAGTCTTTGAAACTAGATATCACTAGTCATTATAATTTTTATATTAAAACTAACTTCAAAAATATAATTTTTTGTTTTTGCATTTATTAATATATCTATTTTGTGCAAAATAAAAAATAAGTTTGGATGATACAATAGCCATAATTATCTTTTTCAAAAACAGGTAATTTTCGTTAGGCTTAACATTGACAAAAATTCAACATGGTGCAACTTGCAACGAAGAAAATTTTCAATATGGGATAGGTTAAATTATTTTATATACCAGCAGTAAAATGACTGATTGAGTAAAATATTTAAAATACTTTATTTCAATTATTAATCAGTTATATAAATAAAATTTTAACAATTTTCAGTTTAAGTAACAGATAATACTGGTATTAAAATATTCAGGGAATATCTGATTTTTATATAGCTTAAAACAATATAAAACAAATATTTAATGGATATATGTATATAAATGGTTGCAATTAACATAAACAATTAATCTCAATATCAAGACTAGATGCCAGCAATAATTTAATCTGTTGTTTTGAAATGGCTTTTAACCACATATATGGTATCTTAGTAATTGTTATATAATAAGTAAAGGGATGGAAGTAAATAAAATTTAGATTATTAATAATACATTTCATAACAAAACATGATATATAGTTACATACATGACATGTATGTATATTTTTATGTATTTATATGAAATATATTACAATCTAGCAGTATCATTTTCAAGCAAAGAAAACGTTTGTATGAAATTATTTGAACTGTTCAATAAATAGAGAAGTTTCTAGAGAAAAAATTCTTAGAAAAAGTTGAATCATAATGTAGAATTTAATTACAAAAATTTTTTATTGCACTATAACAATTCATATGTAATAAATACAATCAACCCAATAATTACTTTCAAATATCATATAAACAGTATATATATTTAAATATTTATAATGCTTGAAATATTATAAATATTCTGTGTGTCCAAATTCTTTTATTGGGCTATTAAGGCTAAATAATTACTAAGTAATTTGGCAAGAGGTAGGTTGTTAGGCTACCATCTCTTGTTAAATATCTTTCAGAATAATCTAAAATTAAATATATTTTTATTTACTTATAATTATTAAATTTATCAAGAGAAGGCAGTCTAATTGATTATCTCCTGCCAAATTTCGTAGTAAGTATTTAGTCTTATTAGTCCAATTAAGGAATCTAACTGTTTTATATACAACTAGCTGTTACCCATGACTTCGCCTGCGGAGTTTTGCAAGCAAACCCCATTTATATTCAGTATTTCAACAACCATAGTAATTGTTATATAACACCTACTGCTGAGAATCAAACAAACTATTTTCAATTTGATCAGTTTTTTGAAACGTTTACAATCGTTCTATAATCGAATCAATATGCAATAATAAATTTGAATTTAAAACAGTTCAAACATTTGGTTAAAAAAATCGAAATATATAAAAATGTCTGAAATGTTATCAATTTAATACACCTAAGTACTCAACGAAGACTAAACGTGGTTAAAAACAAAAAAATCACATCTAAAATAGTACAGTAGAAGCCGTTTTTCCGGTTAAGCCTTAATGCTCTCTCCTCCCCCGGCGGGGGAATTTTGTAGTGTGTGTTTTTATGACGTACCCTAACTGTGTACCAAATTTCACCTGTTTAGGTTCAGCGGTTTGCTCTGGGCAATGATGAATCACTGATTAAGTCAGTCAGTCAGGACAAGTAATTTTATATATTTAGATTTTGTATAATTTAAATTTTATATATGTTACTGTGAAACAACAAAATTAGAGAATGTCAATATTCTCCGGTGAATGTCAACACATACAAAATACGTCGGTGAAAGACTGAATATTTGGTTATATTATTATACATTCGAACAATCACCGGTGTATGTCGACAAGCACAGATAAGCTTTGGTGGAGGTCGAAACGACACCCGAGAAGCCGATGCATCCTCTCTGAAAATTGGTACAAAAATAATTATTATTATT